CACCTGGCTTCCTTGGCTCTTTCTGAGTTTGCCTCTGACCTTCTCCTTGGTGAGTTCTGACCTTCTTACTCAAAGCAACACCACCCCACGCCCGCCCGCCGTTTGCTTGGTTCTCTTCTGAGCGCTGAGAAACATCTGAAATTGCCCTGTGTGGTTATTACACCTCCAACCCTAGAATACACACAGAGAGAAGGGGTGGGGGGACTTTCCTCTGCCTGGAGGGACTCCTCGCAGCTAGAATGGTACCTGGTACAGAGGAGTGGCTCCATAGATATCTGTCAAGGGATAGGAGTCTTGAACACACACGGTGGAAGGGGATGCACTGTCTGCAGAATGACCTTGAGCCCAAGGCATCAGGCTGGGCTCTGACCACCGGCCTCACTAGCATCTGAAGGTCTGCCGTTGTGGGATCCCCGGCTCCCATGAGTTGACATAGACTCAGAAGAAGCCAAGACCGCCCAGTGGTGTGTCCAGGATGTGGGACCCGGGCTGCCTTCTCTTGGCTTCCTCCTCTAGGTGTCAGGCTTGCCTTGGCATGGGGGCCACCATCTGTGGGCAGCAGTTACCCACAGGGGATGCTCCTGGTTGGGGGCAGGGAAGGGGACTGGCCTTGGAGTCACGGTTCAGATTCAAGAAGGGAAATCATCCGAGCTTTTAAAAAATTAAATGGAGTCAGTAATTTGATTTCAGAGAGAAGCTGAAAACCTTGTAATGGCAGGCCCAGCTCAATTCCGTGGCGAAAAGGAAAAGCCTTAAATGGGGCTATTAAGCTTTTGCCTGGGATGGATCTGCCCGGAGAAAGAGGAAGGAGGGGGGCACACAGGGGGAGAAATCATCTTCGAGGTAGGGACCGTTTATCAGCCAAGACAACCCTGATTATTTATTTATTTATTTAGTTCGCATTTCTGGGCGGGCACTGCCGCCGGCCTCCTCTTCTTGGCTGCATTTCAAATCCCACTTCCAGCCACAGGTCAGCCTGGAGGGAGTGAGGCACTGCCCTCTCAGGGAAGCACCGAATGGGGTTCCGGCCCAGGCCACAGCTGGGCTTCTGGGCCACTGAGTTTGGGAGCTCTGGGTCACTGCAGGTCAATGGGTCTGTCCAAGCCAGAAGGGTACCAGCTGCTGCCATAGAAACCACAGGATGTGATCACAGAAAGCAAGGCAGCGACGCTTCATCCTCCCTCCCTGGGGATCCCAGCATGCTTGCGCAGGGCTCGGTGCTCAAGACTTTCCGTGATCCTTGTTCACCCCCTTCAGTGACCCCACTGGGGAGGACCTAGTATCATTTCCACTCAGTTGATGGGGAAACTGAGGCTCAGAAAGGCTAGTGCCCTGCTAAGGTCACAGAGCTAGAGTGGAGACCCTGGAACCGGAGTCCTAGGGGGGTGGGGGGGGGCTGACTACAAGGCCTGCACATTGCTCAGATGTAACAGTGAGATGTAAAACACAGCTGAGCAGCTCAGGGAGGCCAAGGGCCCTTGTCCTGTCACAGAGCTCTTCCTGAAGGGAAGTGTGAGCATGCCAAACCATGTCCTCCCTTTCCTTCGCTCCTCCCCTCCCTGGACACTCCTCTGACTCACCCCTGAAGCTTCTAGAAAGGGACCTCTCAAGGCACCCCTCCACATGTGCTAAAGCTCAGGAAGCTGATGGCTGTCAGGGGTGGGGGCTAGCCTGGCCTCCATCGACTCTTGACCATTGGAGAGGGGGGTCCAAGGCTCACTGGAGTGGGGCAATATGGTTTCTGTAGGAGCTAGAAGGCTTTGGGTGTGTTGAGGCAGGGGGCTGGTTGTGTGTCCAGCCCACGGCTCATGCCAGCCCTCAGGCCATATAGGTGCTGACTCAAGCTGTAGGGTCCTGTCTGTACCTCCTTCAGAAGGGGTTGCAGGCTTCTCAGAGGTGGAAGCCAGAAGGTCCCTGGCAAGTGTTGTCTGGGGAACTGCTGGGCCCACCCTGTGCCTCCCAGAGAGCTCTGGACTTGGGGTCACCAGATGGTCACTGGCATCTGGCTGCCTCCCTCTTGGGCTAGTGAATGTGACATCAGTCCCTGACAAGATGATGAGTCCCATCCCTTCCATGCCCTGACTGGGTTCTGAGGTTGACGGGTCCAGGTACCCTCTGGCCCCCTCTCCAGAGGGATCACGGTCATTCTGCAGTGGCCCCTCAGCCTTGATTGTCGGTAGTAACTCCTGAGGCCTTCTGGAAGCATGGTGGAAAATCAAACCCTCTTCAGCCAGGCTGCTCACGAAGGGCCTTGTCAATGGTGGAAACTCCTCACTGATGTGGGCAGGCTCCCTCCGGGTGGGATCCACGGACTCTGTTGACTTCACAGTCTCTCTTGACAATTTGCCCAGTGGGAAGGGACTTCCTGATGGCTGGGTAGGGTCCTGCCCAGCCATCATAGCTCTTGGAACTTCAGTTAGGGGAACAGATGGTTCAGAACCCAGGAGCATTTGGGGCCCATCAGATCGCCAAGAAGGCCACAGAGGAGAGGGGACTTCTGAAGGCGAATGTGTGGTCATGGAAGTGCGAGACAGGAAGACCCATTGTGAGGGTCTGGGGGCAGCCTGGGAAGCTTCCGTGTGCTCTAAGGAGAGTGTCGCTGGAGTCTGGGGATGTGGAATTAAGTCGGCTTTCTTTGGAGGAGTCTGAAGACCATGATGCTCTTGCACTGTAGCCGGGAAAGGGGAAGCAGTGGAGACCCAGCCTCCTCCCTCAGGCCTAGTTGTTTGAGTGAATGGTACCCCCTGGTCCAGCTGCAGAGAGAGGAAAAGCATCAGAAATAAAAGCATATGGCCCTAGCTCCCCTGTGAACCTCAGCCCAGAGAAGGATATGAGGGCAGCGGCCTCAGGCTGGGCTTCTAGGCCTGCCTTCAGGACCTTCACCTTCAGACTGTGGGAGCGTGCCTCAGTTTTCCACCCCCTTGTGAATACAGCCGAGGTCTCTACTGCTCCTCCAGCCACATCTCTCAAGACACAAAACGGGGAGAGCCAGGTAGGACAGATGAAGGGGCTCTGCCCTTAGGTGCATGCACTCCAGGTCCCCACTTTCCCTAAGAAACATCCTGAACCTGAGGAAGAAATGTGCCTGGGGGGGAGGGGCCTCAAAGTGTGGCTGTCCTTGAACGAAGGTGTTCAAAGAAAGGGCTTAGGCCCAGTGGAGGCCATCACGGCCTCATGGGGACCAGACTCTTGGGTAGGAACAGCACATGCCTGTGAATTTGCCTCGGTGGCTTCTTTAGCGGGCTGGTGCACAAAACGCCAAAGGGGCTCATCCAGGGCAGCCATCCGCGAGATCTGGAACTGGGGAGAGGCTGCAGATGGCGCTTCTGCTGCAGCGGTCTCCCATCCAGGGGACAGGGTGGGTAGAGCGGTCCCTGGCGTGGCTGTTGAGACAAGCGACTCTTCTCTTGAACCTTCCAAAATGGAAAGCAGAAGTCAGCCTTCCCCCTCAGGAAGTAAAATCTTCCTGACCTCTGCCATAAAGGCCATGAGCATCATCCCCTTCCCCACGGAACGGAAGCCTGGTGGTCAGTGCCCAGCACTGAGTTAGGAGCTGTCCTCGTGGCTGAATCTCACAGACCTTTGACATTAAATCACATATGCTAGAAATACAGCTGAGTGGGTAGAATGCTTGCCTCAGCATGCACAAGACCCTGAGTTCAACCTCCAGCATGACATAAGCCAAGCATGGCGGTATGCACCTGCCGTAATCCCAGCAACTCAGGTGTCGGCAAAAGGATCAGAAGTTCAAGGTCATCCTTGACTAGATAGCAAGTTCTAGGTCAGTCTGCGTTGGAGACTCTGTTTCAAAAACTAACAAACTTAAAATACATAAATCCAGGTTTCTGCAAAGATCGCCCGACCCCAGCTCACTGCCCAGCCTGGATGCTACCAGCTGGTTTCATCGCAGAGCCTTCTCCTATTTTGAGGCCCAACCCCAGAAATCAATCAGAACTGGGTAATGTTGCCTGCCTGACTAATCTCAGGTTAACCAGCCCAAGCACTGTTGATGTCCTAGGCCAGACTATGTTGTTCTGTGTTGGGGAGCATCTTGTACATTTTAAGATGGTCAGCAGCATCCCTGGCCTCTGGGTACCAGATGCCAGTGGCATCCTCCCGACATGCTAAGTAGCAACTCCTAATCCATAGGTCTAGTACAGCCATTTAACCTTCTTGGTTCATGCTGTAAGGCAGTTAAAATGGTGAGGTTTAGTAGAGATTGTGTTGTGTGGTTATGTCTGAGACAGGACTTCCACATGTAGCCCAGGCTGTTCTGGAACTCACCATTCTTGCTATGTCAGCCCCCCAAGCTCTGAGATCACAGGCAGGAAAATACTCTTAGAGAACACTTTCTATAATCAGCTTCACACAGAAAAATGAACAGACTTGGCCAGCAGAGTCTACCTCCTTACAAGGCAGAAATCTCCCAGATGTGTCTCCAGAGACATCAGGCCTGTCTCTTTTGGGGGAGTCTGGGGGCTCCTGCTGCTCAGAATGCCTACCACTCCTTCCTATCCTAGACCTCACTGCTGCTTTATCACCTTCCCCTAGGTCCCGGATGCCCTCGCCCTCACCGGTTTATACTTCTTATCTGACCCCACCAGCATTTCCATCCAGGTCCTCTCACTCACATACTAGAACGTTTTATTACAGGGAAACACACGCGCCACACCGCGCGTGTGGAGGTCAGAGGACAACTCGCATGAGTGAGTCACTTCTTCCCTCTTGCCATGTGAGTCCTGGAGGTGGAACTCAGGCTGCCAGGCTCGGCAGCAATCACCTTTTCCTGATGAGCCATTTTGTTAGCTTTCCCTCAGTCTTCCAAAGATGACGACAACTGTCACCACACCCCCACTGCCCTCGCCACGCCCCCACTGCATAGCCACGCCTCCACTGCATAGCCACGCACTCACAGTCATCGCCACGCCCCCACTGCCATCGCCACGCCCCCACTGCCATCACCAAGCCCTCACTGCCATCACCAAGCCCTCACTGCCATGGCCACGCCCTCAGTGCCATCGCCACACCTCCACTGCATAGCCACACCTCCACTGCATAGCCACACCCCCACTGCCATCGCCACGCCCCCACTGCCATTGGCTTTTCTGTTCTGGGGATGGGCACTCCACTTACTCTACCACTCTCAGAAGCTGCCATCTGAAACAGTTAGGATGCTCTTAAAACACTGTTTGAGTTTGGTTTTCATTTTTTCAGGGAAGAGGGAGACTTTTAAAAATCTATTGTCAGGCTGAAGGCTTGATGGTTAAGAGCACTGGCTGCTCTTTCAAAGGACCAGCATTCGGTTTCCGGCAGCCACATGGTGTGTCACAACCACCTGTCACTCTAATTCCAGGGGATCTGATGCCCTCTTCTGACTCTGAGGTCATAAACTGATACATAGCACACACGCAGGCAAAACCCCCATGTGCAAAAAAAAATGAACAAAAGTCTAAATGGAAAGTTCAGGAACCAAAGGCACGTAGGCGACCCATTAATAGTGTAACTCATGAGTCACAATATTAACAAAGAAAAACATTTTGTAAAAATTCCTGGTGAAAATCACTGGGTCTAAATGGCACTTGTAAGTGGTTGCTAAAAGCTGGAGAAGAAAACCTGTCTGAGGCGCAGCCCCTGGTCTCCAGGTTCTTAGGCTGCAGGGAAGTCAGGAGCGGAGAGCAGAGACTATAAAAAGAACAGAAAGCTCTAGAAGCTGCAGGGAGGTACAGAGGAGGTGCGCTGGGGACCAGGGAGGGGAGAGATTCATTCCGGCTGCTGATATGAAATTAATAAAACCAGAAAGGGAACATTCTTTCCCCGTGTAAATCTTCCCAGGGAGGGAAAAAAATCCTCCTAAAATGTTTTTATTGCTGCTGCTATTTTTGTTTTTTATTCATTATCTCCCTGTGAACAACCTACCTACCCTTCAGAGGCCAGGACAAAGTCCACCTCATCGTTGGCACCTCCCCCTGAGTCCACCTGCCCTCCACGAGATTCCATAGAATTCTCTTATCTCCCCTTACAGGCTGCTGGAGAGACCCCCGTCTGGTGGCCTCTGCTCCCTCCCAGCTCTCTCTCCCATTGCAAGCTGAATCCTGGCCGGGTAGAGTTCCAACCCTCCCTTTCCAAAATCAATATCAGTGCCGCAGGAAACTGTTAAAACAAAAGCAGCCGAAACATGTAAAAACTTTTGAGAAATATTTCCATTTTTAGCAGACGGTTAGAACTCGACCCGTCCTCACGCCCCACCCCCCAACCCATCCCGCCTTTGTCTTTGTTTCTAATTCTGAGTTTGGGGCTAGATGTGGTAGGCAGTCCCCCTTTTAATCTTTAAATATAGTTCTGAATATAATTACATTTTTATGCAGCACCGAGACATCATATCCTGGTAACGGGGCATTCTTGCACTATTAACATCTGAGTTCAATCTCCTTCCCGTCTGTCTTCTATTGAAGACAGTTAGGAAGTCTAAGATGAAAGTGATTGACATCATTTGTGAATTATGTGTATTTCCTCGTGCTGGATCTGAATGGGTTTTGCTCCTGGTGGTTTTGCACGTGTGAATACCAGGTTGTTTGGTAGTCCGGCTTTCACTGAAACCCCGCTTCCAGACAGGGTTGCAGCATCCCGTGTGGAGCTCGCACACACGGTGTTTACAGCTCGCCGTGGCTGAAGGATGAATGCAGAGTCCAGGGCTTTCTGCTAAGGAGTCTGAGGCACTGACTGACCGGAGGCACTGCAGCCCAGAGGTGGTGGGACACACCAGGGACGTGGAACACCCTGCACAGGTGCGCTCCTGAGTCGCACCTTCTGATGCAGTGTTGGGACACGCTCTGGGTTCCTTATGTTCCAGATTTTGGGGGGGGGGAACTGAGGTGGGAACTAGAGATGTAGCTCAGTGGCCAGAGTGACCGCCTAACATGCATGAAGCCCTGGGTTGGATCCCCATACTTCATAAACCGACCAAAGTGGCATATGCCTGGAAGCACAACTCTTTTTAAGATTTATTTATTTATTATACATAGTGTTTTGTTTGCATGTATGCCTGCATGCCAGAAGAGGGCGCCAGATATCACTATAGAAGGTTGTGAGCCCACCATGTGGTTGCCGGGAATTGAACTTGGGTCCTTCCTCTGTACTCTTAACCTCTGAGCCATCTCTCCAGTCCCTGTAACCTCAACTTTTGTGGGCTAGATGCAGAAGGACCAGAAATTCAACATGATCTTTGACTATGCAGTGAGTTCAAGGCCAGCCTGGGCTAAATGAGTCTCTGATTGCCTCAAACAAAACAAAAAAAACTGAGACAACATTCGGAGAAGTGGCACACACCTGCAAACCTGGGACGCTGAGGGAGTTTAAGACCAACCAAGGCTACACACCAAGACTCTGTCTCAAAAATAAAAATAAGCCAGGCGGTGGTGGCGCACACCTTTAATCCCAGCAGAGGTAGGTGGATCTCTGTGAGTTCGAGGCCAGCCTGGTCTTCAAAGTAAGTTCCAGGACAGCTAAGACGGTTGCACAGAGAAACTCTGTCTCAAAAAACCAATAAATAAATAAATAAATAAATAAATAAATAAATAAATAAATAAATAAATAAATAAATAAAAACAAAGGTCAGTCAGTAAAGTGTTTACCACACAAGAATAAGCATGAGGACCTGAGGTGAGATCTCTAGGTCCCTTCTTTGAAAATAAAAATAAAAAAGCCTTGGAGCTGGAGAGATGGCTCAGTGGTAAAAGCATTGGCTGCTCTTCCAGAGGACCCAGGTTTGGTCCCCAGCACCCACATGGTAGCTCACAACTGTCTGTGACTCCAGTTCCAGGGGATCAGAATACCTCCCTGTGCACCAGATATGCATGCAGGCAAAACACTTACGCACATAAAACTGAAACAAACAAACAAACAAATAAACAAACCTAAAAGTTCTTAAAATCCCCGTGCGCCTGTAATCTTAGCACTCGGGAGGCAGAGACCGGAGGATCCTTGAAGTTTGCTAGCTGGTCAGACTAGCTGACTAGGAAAGCCCAAGGCTCAGTGGGAGACTCTGTCTCAAAAAAACAAGTTGATTGAGTAAGGTAGACACTGGAGATTAACCTTTGGCTTCCACATCCCTGTGCACATAAAACACTTATACACACACTCGAGGCTGAGCTGGGAAGTCTGTGCACTCCTGCCTCTGTCTCCCATCCACAGCCAGGTACCTTTTCACCTTTCAGGACCTCGACCTCTCTTTGCCTCAGCCAGTTCCAGCAGCATGCCTGACAGAATTGCTAAGCTGCATACATGTGGGAGCTCAGTCCAGACAATGAAATACTGCCAAAGGAGAATGAAGCCAGGCCAGGGGACGAGACCTTGTGTGGCATGTACCTGTTACCAGCAGGCATGTTTTCAGGGTCCCTCACTCACCCACACACTGGAAAAAGTTCTCCACTGTCCAGTGCACCGGGGAGACCATCTCTGCAAAGGCCAGGCTCAGGTCTATCCTGTAGAAAGCTTGTGTCCCTGGGGAGTCTCTGGCCTCTGGGCATGGCTGTGGGACAGCAAGGCATTGGTTGCATGTGATGAGATACATCCCATGTCCTATGGCTGTCCCTGCTGGGGCCATCTCCAAAACCAAACTGAGCTTCCAGGGCATAAATGATAAGGCCAACACCTAGCCAGCCCCCAAAGACCTGCTGGGTGTGTTTCTGACTTCAAGTGCTACCAATAGCCCAAGCAAGAGGCCTCAGAGGAAGCAGCAAGGCAAAGCCACAGGGACACCGACCTGGTCCTGGAGCAGCAGCGGTGCTGGGATGCTGACGACCAGGAAGTCCCTGTCCTCGGTCACCGTGAAGGTGTCGGACTGGTGCACCCGAAGGAATCTGGGGCTCAGAGACTCTTCCACACGGGATCCTCTCCTGACCAGACCCAGTCTCTGTTTGGGGATGTGAACTGAGATCTCCGCCCCTGGCTGAGACGATGCTGGAACCACAGGGAAACACAGCCCAGAAAATGAGCTTCAGGCACGCAGGGTCTTAGTCAGAGGCACACCTGTGACCAGCCCCACACACGACTCAATTTACTTTGACATTGGGACTTGATGTCCTGAGACCATGCCTGCATGGACAAAAAAAGAAAGAAAGAAAGAAAGAAAGAAAGAAAGAAAGAAAGAAAGAAAGAAAGAAAGAAAGAAAGAAAGAAAGAAAGAAAGAAAAGGCCACCCTGTCTAGCTCTCAGAGGGTGCTGCCAATCGAGAAGGTCACTGGAAAAGCAGGTACCAGGAGCAGGATGGCCTTTCTCTGCCAAGACTGTATTCCATGACCCTGCCTGGTGCCCCTTCCATTACAAGCTGCTGGTAGGAAACAATTCATATCAGTTGTTTACACTTTAGCAAGAATTCTGTTGTGTCAGCCCTCTCACGGGGACATTCTGACCAGCTCTGCAGTTGCTAAATGAAAGCATTTGTCTCCAAATAAAGATATTTCAAATAGCACCAACAGGGCAGGAGATGTGTATGGACTTGGCAAGGCCACCCCCCAAGGCCCCTGGACTCCCCAGAGTTCTCATTCTGAAACTTATCTCAGGATAAAATTCTAATCAGGCCTGCAGTGCTCCTCATCTCTCATCTACCCACACAGGACAAAGCCTTTGATCCATCTAACTGTGCATAGTGAGATCTTTAGAATTTAAGCTCCCTAGAGCTCAGCAGAGTCTGGGAGGCTTCCAGACTCCGGGCCTCTCCACACTGAAGAAGGCGCCTGGGAGGGAGGGTATTGCCTCTAAGTCTTGCAGAGTAAGACCACAAACCCTTTCCCATCTTTGTCCTCACAGTCCCTAGGGCCTGCCTGGGCCCCCCCAAAAGTCCCCAGATCCCGGGGCTGCAGCCCTCAGTGGATAGTATTGTTCACAGGTCACGCTTTACACATTCCTGCACACACCTCTCAGCACCCAGCGTTTCAGAAGTCCTCAGTCAAGGTTGGGGTGAAGAAGAGGTGAGGCAGAGCAGGGCAGGGGGGACAAGGCGGTTGGCAGAGGAGAGGAACCAGAAGTGACAGGCCGTGTTAAAGTCAGAGGTGGGCATCAGGGGCGTTCCTGGGTCTTACCCAGCGGGCACGCAGCCTTGAGGGAATAGGCATAGGAGCCGCTCACCAACCAGAGAGGCAGGAGCTCCAGGGAAGTGTTCCATACCTGGGGAAGCAGGAAGTTTCCCCTGTGGCCAGTGTTCCTTTCAGAGGCGCGTTCCCTCCCTCTGTAAGTGCCCACCCTACCCACTCCACTTTCCGTCTCACCTCGGAACAAAGCCCCCAGAGTCAGAGCCCAAGCAGGGCCTGTTGCCCCAGCACAACCAGGAAATATTATTTAGCCAGGATATTTTTAGCAGGAAGCAAGCTCGGAGCAAATGTCATGTGAGCCATCTTCTCTTACACGGCAACTTTGGGCTATTTAAAGAGATGGTAATTATGCTCCTGCCACCATGATCAGGACGCGCTGAATACATGATTGCCGGCGCCCCTCATCTGCCGAGCGGAGCACTTTACGCTAATGGGGCCCAATTTTCGAAGCCGCCTGCCTAAATCTGTCCAGTCTCACAGGTGGACACGTGAACTGGCACTTCAGGGTGACAGAATGCTCACTCCTTGGGGTGTCAGGCCGTAGGGCCCCCCTGAAGCCTGGCATAGCCCGCTGTCCACCACTGACCTCCTGCCTCTGAAGAAGTTCTTGTCTTGGGCTTTGGATGGTGACTGTGCTGGCACCAATGTCCACATCTAAGCCCATCAAGCTGGCATCCTCCAGAGAAGCCACCAGCTCCCCTCGAAGGGACAGCAACCACGGGGTCTGAAGACAGAAGGCAAAAGTCACAAGACAGCTGACCAGGAAACAAGCTCATTTGGGGTCAAGGAGCGTGGGTACCGGGGGTGGGGGCACTCAAAAGGATGGCCGGGTCATGGAAAGGATCAATTGGCCCAGGGGTAGGACAGCAGCTAAAGAGGCTGGTACCCTCACATTTTAGGGGAGCAGACCTCTTATGGGGTGCTTAGAGCACAGATGAACAGACTTAAAAGCAGGGCCAGCCACTCAGCCTGTACACCATCCAGGCCAGCACAACTGGCGGTCTGTTGTCCTGGGCTCTCATTGCCACCCTGTGGTGGGACACGGTCAGTTGGGGTTTTTGAATAAAGATGGGCGCCTAGTAATGCAAGAGGTGCAAGGGGGAAGCACACCCCAGTCCGGGACTGGGGGGACTCAGAGGGATGTGAGGTGAGGAAGGGCTGGCTCTTTCCCAGGTAGCTGTGGGAAGACCTAGACAGGAGAAAAAGTGGGTGCCTGATACAGTGGTTTATGCCTGTATTCTTAACACTTGGGAGTGTGAAGCAGGGGTTTTCCCTGATTTAAATAACAGCTTGGGCCAGGCGGTGGTGGCACATGCCTTTAATCCCAGCACTCTGGAGGCAGAGCCAGGTGGATCTCTGTGAGTTCGAGGCCAGCCTGGGCTACAGAGTGAGTTCCAGGAAAGGCGCAAAGCTACACAGAGAAACCCTGTCTCGAAAAACCAAAATAAATAAATAACAGCTTGAACTATATAGTAAAACCTTGTCTCAAAACAACAAAAACTGGGGGCTGGGGAATAGCTCAGTTGGAAGAGTGATTGCCTAGCACACTCTGGGTTTGATTCCCCCAAACTGTAAAAAAAAAAAAAAGCCAAGTGGTGGTGGTCCACACCTTTAATCCCAGCACTCTGGAGGCAGAGGCAGGTAAATATCTGAGTTCGGCCAGCCTGGTCTACAGAGTGAGTTCCAGGACAGCCAGGGAAGGGCTACACAGAGAAACCTTATCCCAAAAGAAAAAAAAAAAAAAAAAAAAGGCATGGTGGTACACACCCAATCAAGAAATAGGAGACAGGATGATGCTCCAGCAGGTAAAGACATTTGCTGCCATGCCTAATGACCGAGTTTGGCCCTTTAGACCCACATAGTAGGAGAAACTCAGTTCCCTCCTTGGCATCAGGAAATGGATGCAAAAGGACCAAAAATTCAAGGTCGTCCTCAGTCACTTAGTGAATCCAAGGCCAGCCTGGGCTCCATGAGACTGTATCTCAAAAAAGGGAAGGTCTGAGCTTTGTGGTGCACACCTTTGATCCCAGCATTCAGGAAGCAGAAGCAGGTGGACCTCTGTGAGTTCAAAGCCAGCCTGGTCTACACAGAGAATTCCAGGCCAGTCAGGGCTATATAATGAAATTCTGTCTCAAAACAAAAGAGGGGGGAGGAGGGGAGGAGGGGGGAGGGAAATGAAGAGAACAGCTGTGTGCCACAGGAACGGGCAGCCTTGCACCGGAACCAGCTCCTGCCACTGGGAACCTTTCAGAGAGAATCTTACCATGACAGGACCCAGAGGCTTTCTACCCCAGCAGGGTTCCACCAGGTTTTTTTTTTTT